GATCCAATAACAAACAAGGAGTAGAGTCTGCTATGATTACAAAATATATTCTCAAATACTTTATTAATCGGAAATCAGCAGTCATTCTTGGGCACAAATACGAAAGCAGTGCCGCTAATATCTACTGGGAATCCTTGGGTTTTCCAGCTGACCTGTCTGATGTGTTTAAACTAGAATTCTGAACCTTCCCTTGATTTATGAGTCCTGGAAATTGGTAATCACTTTGGTTCTAAAGAAGTCATGACGAATCACTTCCCTGCCCATGGAGGAGACATTTAAATCTTCCTCTTACCTCATCAGCTCATAGACCTAAACTCTGACCTCCAAAATGCAGGCAGTCAAAGCTACTTACCTTGTAAAATTGGCTAATTAACACCTCCCTTTTATAAGATACCACCAAGCCCTCTCGTCAGGAGAGCAAGATTAAGCCCTAGGTATCTCCCAGCTAGTGGGAGGATTGATTTCCTAATTTCTCCTTCAAGCATCCCAGCCCTGCCAGGTTCTTGCACCGATTTTCCCGCAACCCCCAGCTCCCCTCCCCCCATAGCATGGGGAAAGAAAGCCACTGGATGTCAAACTAAGCAAGGAATCCTGACCCCTTTGGCAAGCAAAACTACTCTGGTTAACTAAGACTCTGTGGAGTTGAACGCCTAACGAAATTCCATTTTTAAAGTGTGGGCCTAAGACATTTTTGGAAAGAGAAGAAACTGATCTGGTTGTTTTAATGCAAATTCATAGTGGAAGTCCTGGCCACTTGACTTTCACTTGGTGAATGAATCAAACTCAAAAGCAATTGAGAATTTCAGAAAGAAGCAAGGACAGTCGCCTAGAAAACTGTAGGCAGGTTAGAGACAGAGACAGGGAGACAGAGAAGGAGGGAGGGATAGACATATGCATAGATATATGTGCACACACATACACACATATTGAAGATTGAGATAGGAGCCATTGTTATCCCTGTTCTACAGGGAAGGAACCTAGGCTTCGGTTAGGTGACCTTCCCAGAATGACACTGCTATTAAGACTGATGAAAGATTGGAACTCAGGTCTTCCTGACTCAAGGTCAGATAGTCCATGCAATGCACCCCCTAGGAGTCTAATTTCTGCATATTTTCTAAGAGATTAAGAATGGTATGTTATCCTTGGTACTCCTTGACACAGCTTAATAGGCAATAATAGTGGCATTGGGCAGCTGGGTGGCACAGTGGATACAGTGCCAGGCCTAGAGTCAGGAAAACCTGAGTTCAAAGCCAGCCTCAGACTCTTACTACCTGTGTGACCCTGGGCAAGTCACATAACCCTGTTTGCCTCAGTTTCCTCATCTATAAAATGAGCTGGAGAAGGAAATGACAAACCACTCCAGTATTTTTGCCAAGAAGAGTAGAACACAACTCAACAATAAAATTACTATTATCTTTGAGCCAGCCAGCTTAGCTAAGTGTCAGAGGGCTCATTACCGGAGGATTAGTCACTAGATGGTAGCTTTTTTTTTTTCTTTCTGGTCACAGAATTCATGAAAACAGTCAACTAAGGAGTAGAACGGCTGTGATCTGCATGAGCCCAGATCCTTGAATTACTGAAGCTGTATGTACAGAAACACACACTCACACAGACACACACACACACACACACAACCTAACTGTAACTTTCCTGTAGAAAGCAACCGTGTCAGTCAACTCAGCTGGAATATGCCTGCTGTGAATTCTTTAGAGATCATTATAAATAATAGTGGAATTTGCCAACATTTAGAATGTGACCTAAGATAAGCATTGGAATTATGGCTGTATCTTACATTACCTAACATATGAACATCAGGATTTACATGAATAACGACGTTTGCTTTACAAAAGGATTTGTAGTAAGATTCCTTTAGAGCAGAAACTCCCCTGATGTATCTAAGCCATGACCGCAGCTACAGAAAATCACTTCCATGCAGCCTGGCATAGCCGAGAGTACCAGAATCAGGAAGACCTGGGTCTAAGTCCCATCTCTGACAGGTAATACTGGCAAAGTGAGGCTGGACAAGTTATTTAATTACTCAGTACCCACGAGCAACTCCCTTAAGACATAACTGGCACATTTGCATTAGTCAAAATAGTTTCTTCACCAAGAAGTCACAATAATAGTGAAATAATAGCTCTGGATCTATTTACGCATAACTTTTTTTTTTTTAGAAAAGCATCTATCAACTAAAACTATTCACCTTTTGGTGAATGGAGGCAGCTGGGAGGTGTAATGGATAAAGAACTGAGCCTGGAATCAAAAAAGATCTGAATTCAAATCTGACCTCAGATACTAGCTATGTGTCCTTGGGCAAGTCATTCCATTTATCTCAGTTTCCTCATCTGTAAAATAAGAATAACAAATAGCTCCCAGAGTTGTTGTCAGGACCAAATGAGATGTCTGTAAAGTACTTAGCAAAGTGCCTGGCACTATATAAATGTTGGCTATTAATATTATTAATAACAATTAATAATTAGTATTCTATTATATCTTAGGTCCATTAGAAGTATTGAAAGTGTAATCAATATGTAAAAATATATAATAAATTCTTTGTTATAAGGGATGGCTACAATAGGAAATGTACGTATTGTAAAAATTAAAGATATCATTAAAAATGTATTTTTCAGATAATAATGCCTGCCCTGGAAGTGTTTATTGTCTTCTTTCAGTGAGGTTTGAGGTCCAAGACCCTTTATCCTCGACTTTTTGGGTTGCAGGTCCATAAAGCAACCTTGTGTTAGCCATGAGATAAAGCCCCATGTTTTTAGCTTTTGAAACCTTTGATACCCAGTAATAATTAGTTTCTACACCTTCTACTTCTGGAGTATATTATACTCCCCCTGCTGGATATCATTCAACATAACAATCGCAATTCCCCACAGTTTAGCTTTGGGGTTGCTAACACAAATAAGTCTGGTTTGGGGGGCTTGTTTCACAAGAAGATAGTCACTGAAACTACAATTGCTGGGGTGTTTTTAAGAGCAGTCAGTTAATGTCAGATCTCATAAAAACAGGAAAAATTAAGGCTGACAAATGACAAAGACTCAAATTAAAAAGGGAAAAAAAATGCTGAAACCTTGAAATGCTAAACAATGCAGAATGAAAGCCAAAAGTTGAGGACTCTGAGACATAGCTGAAAGGATATTGCTAACAGAAAGGCATGAAATCAATTTTATTTTAATAGCCCATAAGGGGGTAAGAATTATTTCCCTGCCTCTTGTGCCAACCTCAAGCTGTTTCCTAAGGAAGCCAAATAATGCTGATCAACAATGTCTGGAGAACTAATGAAAGATACTAATTATGAAAACTACGTTATTAAGGAAACGCAAAGAGAATTCATTGTATTATCATTTTGCCCATATTCTTCTGAGTGGGTCAAGGCAGAGAGACCCCAAAGTGCTGCTCTGGCCCTTTCAGGAGTACCTCACCTAAAAGTTTAACTACGTTTTAATTGCAAGTTTAACTACTTTTTAATTGCTCCAGAGAGGGAAAGTTGCAGGTACCCCATCCAGCTTTAAGGATTACTATTTTAAATGTGAAAGCTGATGATAACCACGGTGCATGAACTTTTCGTGCTCTACCCCGTATTATTAATGATCAATCCTTAGCCCAAAAAGTAGGTTCACTCTAAAAGTTGGTTGCAGCCAGAAATCTCAACTCAAGAAAATCATCAGTAGGGATAACAAGAGACCACATTAAACACTGGGTTAAAGAAAAAAAGTGCTGTCCAGACTTTCCTCATTTCCTTGCAAAACACTTTGCAAACCTTAGAATGCTATATGAATTTGACTTATTATTGCTGTGATTATTTTTACTTTCTACTCCTGTATAAATGATACTCTGAAGAAGATAGGATTCCTTTCCTTCATGGCAGGCACTAACTACAACCCTGGAAACCAGGTGGAGCTCTCTCATTTTACAGCAAATTCTGTGGACATCAAATGCATCGGTTCCACTCTTCCTAAATGATTAGCTACACAGAGAAGAGAGCTTGGCTCTCTTCAGTTTGTGGACCTGGAAGTCAGCTGAGTCCTCTTCTCGCAATATATCCTAATTGTTTTCAAATCTGGGCTGATCAAATGATCAAGGGCACAGAACTGATGATACAAAGAGCCAAACGTCAGAACCCAGGAGGTTAACGAGAGCTAATAAGGTCCACAGCAATGTACTCAGAAAGTACGAGCTGGAAGGACGGAGAGCAAAGTGGGGCGACCCCAGAGGAAACCAAAAGCCAGCGCGGGAGACTCGTGAAGTTGGCCAGCTCAAGCGGAAAGGACGCTGGATACAATGTCAATTAAGCGCGAACCCAAAAGCTTCTCCCACCAGCGCAGTTATGCTCCCTGGAGGCAGTGGCCAGCTCAGCCGCGGGGGGTTAGAGAGAACGGCAGAGAGGAAAAGTTAGAGCAGCGTGTGGATGGAAGGAGCACGCCTGCACCCCTAGCCCCGGGGCATCTATCCCAAAGCAAACTGCAGCCGCCACCAAACAGCTGCGTCCCCGCTTCCCGGCTCCAGCTACGCAGGAGAAGCCCTGAGGTGTCGCTGTCATTGCAAGTTCGGAAGGACCCTGGAGTGTGTAAACACACCCGATGGGACTGAGTGTGGATCAAGCGTGGGCTCAGAGAGTGGGGCCACCTCCGGGGAGATCCAGGACCGGGACTCCAAAGGTGCAGGAAGTTAGGGGGTCAGAAGGCTATGTGTCCTGAAGCATGCAGGCGCCGGGCACTCGGGACCCGCGGAGCTGCTTCGCTAGCTGAGAAGAGGAGACCGGAGTCCTGAAGAAGGGGCGCGCGCTGAGCCCCCAGAATCAAGCAGCCTCGGGATAGGGAGAGGAGGCTGGGGGAGACGTACCTCGGACCCGATCTGTCAAAGCCAGACCCAGGGGCTGCAACGCTGCGGAGCCCGAGCCCGAGCCCGAGCCCGAGCCGATGGGAGCCCTCTGGCAGCCCGCTCCCAGCTCAGCGCTACGACGCCACTGGCCCAAGCCTGCGGACGCTCACCTCCTACAGGGAGCCGCGGGAATCGCGCAGGAAGACGGGCTCTAGATGGGCCACTGCCCCTGCGTCACTCGTCACGAGCGGAGAAGCGCCCCTCGCCAGCTGCCCCGCAGCCTCCGAGTCCCCCCATCGGGGCTGAGCCGAGCGCACACGCCCGGACGGGGACACGCCACCTCAATCAGAGCGCGGGGTGGGGGGCAGGGCGCTCCTCCTCCGAGGGGGTACGGGGGCTCCTCCTCCGAAGGGGGACGGGGGCTCCTCCTCTCTCCTGCCTCCTCCCTCCTCCCCGCCTCTTCTCTCCTCCCCCTCTTCCTCCCGAGTTAATGGATGAGCTCCCAGGGAGCGCGCCCGCAGCCAAAGCAGGGGAAGACAGACCCAAGGAGAAAGTCAACCCGGGCCCTGGAATGAGGGACACAGACAAGGGACTGGCTTTGTTGGGGAGCAGCTTCCGAGGGAGACAAGGAGGTTTTGGTTCCCCACCCCCATCCCTCCAAACTTTGGCTACAACTTTTGCATGCTTCAGGATGCATGTTTTCCTGGCCCCCCTCCCTCGCCTGCACCATCAGATTCACCGGCCTGGGTCTCCCCCGAGGCAACCCCACGCTCTTGCCCACATCCACTCCCATAGGATATGTTTACACACGCCAGGTCCTTCTGAACTGCAGACAACTTTGCTACAACTTTTGGGGGGTAGTATTTGTGCCCTCTGCCTTCAGAATTGTTTTGGAGGGTAGTATTTGTGCCCTCTGCCTTCAGAATTGAACTGGAGTAAAAAATTTTCCTGAAATCAGTAGCAGCCTTTCCCACCTACCCCACCCCCCCTGCCCACGGCGAAGTGGGGGTGGGGGTGGGGGTAAAAGAGAGGGAGCAGTGATACTTCCCTCAGCCTCCTAAGACCAACTAGGGAGCGTTTCCCAGCTCTTCACGCGCTAACCAAAAGGCAAAGTAGAGAAATTGAATCTGTGCGGCTCTGGGTACCCTACCTTGAGGTTGGCCCACGGTACTTTTGAGAATGACATAGGGGCGGGGAGGGGGTGGGTGTGAATCCATCAATCAGCAGATACTTTCTTTTTTTTGAAGCCAACTACTAGGTGCCAGACACTGTGCTGAGAGAGGGAAGGAGAGGAGAGGAACAAAGACTGAAATGGAACAATCCTGCCCTTATGTCCCTCCCATACACACCCTGTATCAATACAAGTGTCCAAAGGGTGTAGTGAACCGAGTGTTAGATTAGGAATCTGGAAGGCGTCTGAATTCAGGTGGCGGACTGAGCCCTTACTATATGCCAGGCTCTGTGCTAAGCTATGGGAGTAAAGAAACAGGACCTGCCGGTAAGGAACTTACCTTAATGCAGGGACTCCAGGCCTTGGGTCCAGAGTGCACCCTGGAGAGGATTCAAATCCTACCTCCGACGTTTACCAGTTACGTGACCACAGCCAAGTTAACCTCGGGGAGTCACAAATACATATGCAAAGTTTTGCAAACTTTAAGGAGACACGTCAGTTATTAGACACATATGCAAATACGATGTACTTCTAATAATTCAGCAAGCATTTCTTAAGTGACCAGTAAGTAACAAGCATTGTGCTTGGCACTGAGAGTACAGAGAGTAAAGTAAACAATCCCCGTCTTCAAGGAGCTGATATTCTGTTGGGAGGAGGGGAAAATAAATACGTCTGTGTCAATAAAACTTGCATAGGTGTTCTTCATGTCCACGTCGTGATTTGGGGGGCTTCAGGACTAGGACTTTTAAGTATTGATGGGTACAGAAAGTGCCTGTTTTGTTTTTAAAGTACTACTAGATGTTTTTGGTAAGAGCTGAACAGAAAGCATTTTTCAGTCTTCCTCCTTTGCAAACAGAGAAATTCTTCCCTATTTGATTCCCATCCATAAAATGCTAAAAAACTGGGGTTTTTGAAAAATCCTTATTAATCGTACAATGGTTTGCTACCCTTAATATTTACAGATTTTAGAGGATGTGTTTTAAGTTCCTCCTCTCCCTTCCTTCTATCTAGTAAAATAGGAAATGAACCTTCATGCCCCCAAGCTGTCAAAAGAAGGTTTCAAGAGGAAGCAGGGGAGAGCTTTCTTTCATGTAAACATTTGTTGTGAATGGTGACTCTCCTATTTGGATTTATTAATTGTATTGGAGCTTGTCAAGGAAACACTTGAGTGAAAGCAAAGAAGGGGAAAGGGCACGTTGGAGAAGCCTTACACGTGAGTGACATTTAGAGTTCAGGGTGTTATCCTGAGAGAATCCCAGGAGCCTCTAGAGTTGGAAGGGACCCCAGAGGTTCAACCCCTCCCGACCTAAAGCATAAATCCTTTCTGCGACATTTCAGATGATTAGGGATGGACCTGAGAATCTCCACTGCCAAAGAAATCCATTCAGAGCAAGGCAAGGCAAGAAACATGTGTTAAGGGCATATTCTGTGCCAGTGAAGCTTGATACAAATACAAGAAAAGGGAAAGACAGTCCCTGCCCTCAAGATGCTTACATTCTAATTCGAAAAGACAACACATAAAAAGAGAGCTGAAGGGAGTAGGATGGGGAGATGTACCCTCCAGGAAGGAACCAGAAATTATTAATGAAATGACATCCCTGTAAAGGAGAAGCAGTGTGGTATGATGGTAAGAAGGGACCTCAGAAGCCCACCTCCTCTACCAAAGCATGAATTCCTTCTATAACATCTCAAACCAATAAGTGATAAACTTGAAGACCTCCACTGACAGGGAAGTCACTACCTCTCAAGTTAGTCTTTTCTGATTTTGGACAGTTATTAATAACATGATATTCACGAGAAGGCAGGCAGTAAGCATTTATTAAGGACTGGACCCAATTCCCAAAATGAAGAGGCCCCAGAAGGAACTCACCCCTGAGAAAAAAGGGCCAGCATGGTGGGAAGATGGAACAGGGTAAGAAAGCCCCAGGAGTTGAGAGAAGTTCCAGGGTGAGAAGAGTGAAGGAGAGTCAGTGTGAGCGATAGATTGAAGTCAGGAAAACCTGCGATCAAGCCCAGCATCTGACGTATGTTAGCTCAGTGGCCTTATGCAAGTCACTTAAACATTCAATCTCCCCAGGTAATTCTCTAAGACCAGAAACTAAGGCTACTGACCTGGATTTATGGAAAGTTTTCACATCCAAAGTTTCCACCTCAACTCAATTTAGAACCACATGATAAGCTTTTCCTGATCCCTTACAAATAAAAACATCCTTTAAAATGCAAGACTATAGAAATTGTAGCAGAGTATTAGGGGAAACACCTTAAATCATGTGTAATTGTGTGCCCTAGTCATACTTTCACTAAGGTGTCTCAAGAAAGAGACATTTAAATGTAAATAAAAGTTTCAAAATAAACATTAGAAGGATCTATTGCACTTGTAGGGGCCAGCAAAGCACCAACTACATTCCAGCCTCTGTCTTAGGTGGACCCCAAAGGGAGTCTTGGAAGTATATTTGATGGAAATAGGAATGATCAACATAAGCCTGTGTGGAGGACCTTATTCAGAGAACTGGCTTGTTGAATGGAGAGGTTAGACTTCTCCCATCCCCTACAAAAAAGGTGACAAAGCTCAGAGGGGTTTGGAGTGGAGAAGCTTCTGTCCCTCTTAGGCCAAAAGTCCATATACTAGCTGAAAGAGCATAATACCCAGCTGAAAATGGCCCTCCAAATAAAGGGGCTCTCCCGCTTCCTCCATCACTCAGTAAATTCTCTTTCTTTGAGTTTCATGATATTCCCATTTACCACCCAACCAAAGTCCTGGTAGCTATTGTCTACAGACCCCCAGGTCATTCCCCTTTTTTCTTCCCCAACTCCTGCCCTCATACTAAGGGATTTCAACATACATATTGATTCTCTCTCAAATACACTAACCACTCAATTCCTCAACCCACTCATCTCCCATGAGCTACTCCTCCAACTCACCTCAGCCACACACAAGATGGTCAATCATACCCTTGATCTTGCCATCAACCACAAATATACCACCTACACATTCAAGAATTCTGTAATCCTCTTACATAATCTATTAGCTTTTCACCTCTTCCTCCCCTTAAAAAACCTTACTTTTTGTCCACACCGACTTCCAGTCCCTTGACCCCTCAATTCTCTCCCAAGTCATCTCCCCCATACTAGTCACTCTCTCCTCTTCTCCCCATCTTGAGCCCTTGATGAACTAATTCAATTTTATATTCTTCCTCTCTTGAATCCTTAACTCCCTTATCATTTTACTGTATACCCAACTAAGCCTCAGTCTTGAATCACTCTCACCAATCACTCCTACATTCATACTGCTGAACCAAGGTAGGGAAAATCATGCAACCATCCTGACTATGTCCACTACAAATTTATGCTACACAACATCAACTCTGTGCTACCCACACATTTGTCTCAATACCATTCTACTTTAAGCTTGCATCCAGTCTTCCCCTCATTGATCTGATGTATATTTGTAGAAATATGCCCCAGGTTTTGGGGGAAAATGCTTTGTAATGACTGTTTTTCTTTCTGTGTCATTTGTGTAAATGCCTTTACTAAAGAACTAAATCTACTGGCTGATAGTTAAGAAGAGGCACACCAATAGGGGCTCTTGAGCTAGTGTTAGAAGTATATCCATCCGTAGGATTTCTCCTAGAACCCTGGGAGGAAGAGTAGCCGCTCTCTGGGAACTCAGCCTGCCAGTGTCAATACAATTGAGGGAAATGAGTCCTTCCTGGTTGTTACATATATCATGATTTACAAAAAAAAAAAAATCCATTATTCCTGCATCATTATATCATTTTTATATTAGCCTTATATCGAACAGAGTTTGGAGAGTTTCCCCAACCCCAATTTGTACTGTTTTGTTGTGTTTTTTCCCAAAAAATATTGTCCCATGAAATCATTCATAGGATTCCAGATATAAACACACCATATAAGTATAAAAAGTTTAAATTTGAGACTTCGAAGCAAATATCTCATAATGTTTAATGGTAAAATTAAAAGATTTCAAGGGGGCATGGGGGACCAGTTCCTTTCTTGAACTTCTTTCAATAAAGGAGTGCTTTGGAATATGGAGTATTTGCCATCACAAGATAAAAACCTCTCTTTGGGTTAAGGTTTGTTTTTTTTTTAATTGGTCAGTACTTGCCCCTAG